CCCCCCTTTTGGTTCATCCCTACCAGTACCTGACACACTGAAACTTTCCACATTTATGTGCTCCATTCTGAAAGAATTTCTCAAGTTGTTTGCGTACATGTAGGCCTATGTGTATTTTGCACACAAACATTGCGACAAAGATTGGTATACACAGGTTGTGCATGTAGTTCAAAAACGCATTATTCCACGTGGGCTCTGTTTTTTAAAAAAAACAACCCACCTTCAAATGAAAACAAAGCATCCAAATGCAGCAAGTACATGTAATATTAATGAGGGAACACAAAGATAGTTCTCAAGGAGAAAACAAAGAATACAGATTAGATCAACATCGTAGTATAGTGAGAGTATTGTGCGTCGGTGAAAAGTGTACAATAATTAAAATACACGTAAAATGTAACTTTGTAATTTAGCTTCAAATTAAGTTCGTCGCGTGATTTTGATTAATATTGATGCGCTGATTGTGAAAATGCTATTGTTTTCAAGATATGACTACTGCTTTAGAAAAAATTGGGAGTGAAATTTTGAAGCCGCCGGGAGAAACTACAAAGGAATCCCGCCGCGTAAATGAGGCCACCTCGGCCCGCCGGCAAAACATCTGGCTGTGCCAGATAGGCCTATCAGCCCCGCAAGGCCGGCGGGCGCCTGTGTGGCTTTGTGAGGGCCTCTCTCGCCTCGCCTCTCGTTTACACACGCTCAAGTCAACCTGACAGGACTGAGCCGGCCCGAGGACAGACGGGCATCGGGTCAATAAACTACATCGCTCCACTGTGTGGTGTGTAGTGTGTAGTTTCTTCTTCTCGTTCATCTTTACAAGGACATCCAGTCTCTGGTGGGAAGTGGGAAGGCTTCTGTTCTCCGCAGGTCCTTTAGGCGTGTTGCGATCTATTCTTTGTTTCCATCTGTGTTTTTGTGTTTGCTCATTAGTAACTTAGTATAAAATTACTTAGGATACTTAATCCTTGTTCTTCGTTTTCATCTGGAGTCGTTGTCTTTTTAAGCAATGTCTGCGTGGAATAAGCAAGTGGTGCTTCAATTTATTAAACTATACGAATCGTTGCCATGTTTGTGGAAGGTCAAATCAAAAGCATACAGCAACAAGTTAACAAAAGAACTGGCGTATGCAAAACTGATTGAATTCTGTCAAAAGCATCAGGAGTCGGCCGATAAACACTTCGTTGTGAACAAAATCAATAACTTGAGAAGTTCTTTTCGAAAAGAGTTGAAGAAGGTGGAAAGGCTCAATGCTGGTCCAGTTAGGGCGTACAGACCAAAGCTATGGTACTATGACCATCTCATGTTTGTCAAAGACCAGGAGATCCCTGGGAGGGGAAGGTCAAGTTTGGGAAGTGACCATGTGCCCCTACCAAGCACAAGAGATGACGCAATAGAAAAAGAGGTAAGCACTTTGTGTCCTCATCATAGATTTAAATCTCCTTTTTAGACTAGTGTACATCTATGATGGTCCTCATCGATGTCACTTTTAAGTCCATGTGCTAAATGTACATTGTATCTTCTAGCAGTGACCAAGTGCTGCCCCCCCCCCCCCCCCCTATTTAGTTCTTTTAGTAATCGACCAAAATCACCCCACCCCCCCAAAAAAAATATAAAAAAATAAATAAATACCACCACCCACAGGTCGTTTGTCATAATTACAGCACTTTAACACTGTAGTTGTAACGTACGTTTTTTATTCTCCACCCACAAATTGGTGCATGGTGTAGAGATAGTCCTATAAAATGCCAATTCAGCTTGTGTTGTTCAATATTTCTTCCTTTTTGTTATCAAATCAAATTACTCTGTAAAATTTCAACAATGAATGTTCTTTCGTTAAAAACAATTGAAAAATAAAATTCAATTCCTACGATAAATCAATCATGATTCATTTACTCTTTTTGAGAGTGTCAGTTAACTTCCATCATGCAGGGCACAGTCGAGGCGGGGTGGGCCTATGACAAACTTGGCCTGTGACAAACTGGCATGCTTCCACACACAGTACATGTATAACATACATGTTACAAACACACAAAGCCCACGTGTTCGCCAAACCGAGCAATAAAGCCGTCCTTCTCTAGGGGACTAGATCTAGATCCAGTTAGTTGAGGTAAACCACCGGGGACCCCCCCCCCCCCTTCTCAAACAGGGAAAGGGGGGCTCTCGCGGACGCGTTTGATTTTGAGTCGACAAGTCGGGCGCGATCGGCTTGTGCCACGATAGCCGCTTTGCGCCCTCAATCTGGCTAGCAAACCGACCCGACCTGACCCGATCCCTCAATGGGCACATTAGATTGAAGTGTTGAAGTTGAAGTGCTGCTTGTTGCTTTTTTCAGTTGTGTCATTTGATGACTCATCACCCAACAATAAACTTATCCAGGTCAAAGGAATAAAAATACAAGTTTAAGTTCAAATGTTATATTATTTTTTGTTAGCCTTTCATTTCCCGTTATTCCCGCCTTGCGTGGTTTGACAACGTGACTATCTGTACTGAGGACTGACATGGTGTGTGAACCAGACCTATGAAAGGTCACCCCATCGACTCGTCTGTCGCTGCAGATAAGAGGCAAAATCGGATGATACAAGTTTTGCTTCACTCAAAAGCAACACAAGATAATCTTTTTCACCCGCCACTAGTACGACGAAAGTAACAATACAAAGACCTTCTTTCCAAGTGGTGCATTTTGTCTTTATATGCAGTGACTACAAACTACAAACGTTGCAACTTTTTGATACTCAACAAAGCTAGAAGTCTCTTCATTTTTCTGACACGACGCCGTCAATTTACTTAAATCTACCACACACAAAAAAAACTGGCGCTTGACCTATCGGTTCATCTATCGACACAGCACACAACAACATGGTCTAGGCAGCCATGTCAAACTTGGGTTTCTCCGAGGGCCACGTGGGTCACATGCTGGTGTTACCAAACTCTCTGGTGTTACCAAACTCTCTGGTGTTACCAAACTCTCTGGTGTTACTGAAACAGGAGGGCTACACAGTTGGGAGAGTGGGGAGAAGTGGGCCACCGTGGGAGGAGTTTTGAAAAAAAAACAAAAAAAACAACAACTCAAAAATGAAAAAAAAGCACCAAAAGACAAAGTACGTTATATCAATTCAATCTAAACAACATTTATTGTGTTTAAAAACCAGTTATAAGCGGTACAACAGAGATAGGAAGAAAATGGTTTTATACTATTAAAGGGTGCTGAAGTCAACATTACAAGTAGGGAGAAGTGAAGAAATATGCCGTAGGTGACATCTGTTACCATGGCTATCGGAACCTAAACAAAAACAAAAAACCAACGATACATTCCCCACAACGACACAAATATGGAATTTAAGGAAATTAAAACCACCAAAGTGTCTAGAGTCAATCTAAAAACAGATGTCACCTCTTGGTTCTTGCAATAGTGCCTCTGAATTCAGAATGTGGGTGGGGGTAAAATGGCTCTAATTGAGTCAATATGGACTGAAGAAATATCTTCCACTGCTGGTTTTACAAAGTGTCGGCTCTTTTTGCCCTTTCTTTGGAAAACATCTACCCCAACACCATCTTTGTCTCTTTCTGTGACAACAACCCCTGCATAGTAAAACGAGGTGTTTTTTGTAGAGAACTCACACACCACACCATGCTCTGCTGGTGCTATCTGGCCCAATGCTTAGTAGACTCTCACGTGATCCGATGACTTTTGTGACGTTGTGGTCTGTTGTGATTCTTGTCTCGTCAATATTGAGTATCTGAGCTCTCCAGACACCCAGGCCACTATCTGAAAGAGCGTACAGCAAGTTGAAAAATGTTCCCACAGAATGTCTGTTGAAAGCTGTGGCTCTTGCCAGTGAGGTAGCCACTGGTTATTACAAACTGAATGTCTCCAAAGAGAACCCGTTTGCCACTCCTTTCCGGCACATTTTGCATCATCCCACGAAGATAGGTACGAAAGGTCTTAGGTGATTTGCAACAGCGACTTCGTACAACGAGTTTTCTGCAGTTAGCAGTTGTCAAACCGTAGGATCTTTTGGTACATTTCAACATGTACTGCGTCAATTCAGTCTCCTGTTCTACTGTGAATACTTGACTGTGACGATAGTTTGGATACAATTCAACATTATCTTGAAGAGCTTTCTTCACATTGTTTTGAACGGTATTGCGACGAATTCCGTGGAGGTATGTGACTTCCGTCAAAGGCGCTCTATTTCTGACAGCTGCCTCTGCATTGTTCATTGTCTCAGGTAAGGCTGTGCATATGCCGGTCTTCCTTTGATACGTGTAGCATTGTCCCTAGAGATTGAACAGAAATACACATGTATATCGTTTATTGCGTGTCTTCGGGACGCTGGTTCATGCCAAAAGACTCGAAAGAGGCGGGTACACAGTGTGGCACTAGAGCACTAGTGATGGAAAACTCCGGAATGGTAGACTACTACTACAATACTACCCCAAGGTTTGTTTTAAAAGTCTAGATCAAGATCCAAGCCCCTATCTTTATCTTATATTCGAACAAAATAGGTAATGTATGTCTATAATAGAGTGGACATATATTGAAGATTATTTTTCTACAACTGGGGAGAAGTGGGCCACATGTGGGGAGTTTTCGCTGATAGAAAGAAAATGGTTTTATAGGGTGCTGAAGTCAACATTACAAGTAGGGAGAAGTGGGCCATGGGTGGAGAGAACTGCCCCCCCCCCCCTCCCCGGAGATATGGGCCCCCTGGGGAGAACTGGGCCACAGGTGACATCTGTTCCCATGGCTATCGGAACCTAAACAACTAAAAAACAACAATATATTCCTCACAACGGCACAAATATGGAATTTAAGGAAATTAAAACCACCAAAGTGTCCAGAGTCAATCTAAAACAGATGTCATCTCTATGGTTCTTGCAATAGTGCCTAGTGCAATAGTGAACCAATGGTCTGTCTCAGCCTTAGCGAATGCAAGGCTAGCCTAGTAATCAGTTACAATCAGTCTGTGGGAACAGCGTTGGGGCATCAGAACATACCAGTGAAATTCCTTTCTCCCAGAGTCGTAGTTTTATACCAGCATACACTCGAATCGGTCAGATCGCTTTTCGAGTTTGCCTAATCTTATAATTGTTGTCTTCGTAATGAATGTACGGTGTACATGATCATTATTTATGTTCGGAATATGTTCTCTTCAGTTTTCTATCACGTGATAACTGGGCCAATGGTGGCCCACTTCTCCCCGTTAGTAGTCTAACTATTCAAATGTGTTTTTCTTCAACTGGCAGTTAAAACATGCGGAACAAATGAAAAACTAGTAATTAGATTATTTCTTAAGGTATTGTTACACTTACCTGGTAAGAGGAGAAAAGTGTTTTTCTCCTCGTTGTGATAAAGTTGCGCGTTTCAAAAATCAAGTATTTCAACTTTTTCTTGATGAAAACGTCTTTTCCACTCAATTAACTCAAACCGCCCTGAAAAAAAAGGAAGGTGCTTCCTTGTTCTGGAAACAATTTTGCTAGGTTTTATATTGTATGCAAAACTGCACCAGACCTCTGGATTTGGGTCTTCAGGGGGTGGCCCACTTCTCCCCACTCTCCCTACGTGACAACTATTTGTTCATCACAACTAATTAAAGTCAGTTGATAAAACTCATTACAGAATATAATTGTTATTTAACTTTAGAAACATACTATGTGCACGATAATGTTTAAGCATTAATGAAAGCAAAGTAGGCAGTTTGGCAAAATAATAATGTTTAGAAGGCTAAATTATGACAACAAACAGTATTCCAAGTTTGCAGCAGTATCATGTACATTGTACAAAACCTGGAACAGTTCTCAAAACAAAACATTTATTGGGGGGCTTTCGTGGCCTAGAGGTTAAGGTGTTGGCCTCTCATTCCAAGGTTCTGAGTTCGAATTCGGGTAGCGACCGAAAACTTTTCTTCTCTAACATTGTCTCCTTTCACCTCCTTTCCTGCTCTCTAGCAATGTTCTGTCGTCTGCTTTCGTCTCCTCTTTCTGCCCCCTTCCCCTCACCTCCTTTGCTCCCTCCTCTGGGCTCCCGACTCTTTCTGCAGCCTTTCTACTGCTACTCCTTGGCTCATTCTTATTGCTGTCTTTCTGCCGCTCCCCTGATCTTCTGGTACGAATGATCTACATATCTAGCCTTCTCGGACAAGGGCGAAAAATCTCGGAGGGCCCCTGTGCAAGTTGCGCACGTTAGAGATCCCTTGGTGGTCTAAAATCGATAAGAGTAGGCTTCGGCCGCCACCCAGGCAAAAATTCAAAATTTCCTTCCAACTGAAAATTTTTTATGTGTCCTCCGGGCTCATGTGACCTTATGCAGTTGCGAGCGCCGTAAAACAGTTACCTCCCCCCCCCCCCAAAAAAAAAAAAAAAAAATTTTTTTAAATATGCTGTTCCGACTTTCTGTCCCCGTGGTTTTATGCACCCCGCGTGATTTAGCAAAATTTGATCATTTTTTGCATAATTTCTGATTATTTTTCTTTATCATTCTTTGTTAAAATTTACAGAATCGCATAATTTCACATTTTTTTAGCTCAGTTTGCATAATTTCAGAATTTATTTTTTTGGCATAAAACGACGGGGACAGGACTTTGATCAGATAAGACAAGCGTTGATAAGTCAGTCTTTTCCTCTGAGAAGACTTGATTTGATGAAGGAAAACAACTGTTCACACACATTATAGGTAGAACCAAATTTGTCGTAAAATCTTTGTGGCATACTTTCTGAAGTTTTTACACTTTTCAGGGAAGTACGAAAAGAAACCAGGTATCCCCACTTCAAGACACGCACGTAATACTTCGCTCAGAGTGTAAAATTCTAATAATGTCGTTCCATCTCCAGTCTTTTTTCTGCTTTACTTAGTAACATTAAAGTAAGGAGAATGGTGCTGTCGAAAATAATGTAAACTCATGTTCGACAGAAAAGAATTCGACAGAGAACAATTTCAGGTGACTTTCATAAATCAGCAAAGCTAACCAGAACCACAAATTCAGTAATGACCCTTTTCCAGTTCTTTACACGTAAGAAAATGAACTAAATTTTCCTCTGACATCCGTTGGTATCATCATGCAACTTACTGGTGAGTTTGTTTTTACCCTGTTATTCCTTACTTTTAGCCCTAGGCTAGTGTTAACCAATAGTCTGTCTCAGCCTTAGCGAATGCAAGGCTAGCCTAGTAATCAGTTACAATCAGTCTGTGGGAACAGCGTTGGGGCTTCAGTGAAATTCCTTTCTCCCAGAGTCGTAGTTTTATACCAGCATACACTCGAATCAGTCAGATCGCTTTTCGAGTTTGCCTAGTCTTATAATTTGTGTCTTCGTAATGTACGGTGTACATCTTGTAGTAACTTATTGAAAACGCGTTTGTTTTCAGGCGACGAGTCGGGCGATCGACTTCGAACCGACCCGATCCCATCCGCAATGGGCATATGGCGTTCTTTTTTGTGGGAAATGAGTAGTTGAAATAGAACATCGGTACTAACCTTTACAATCAGCGAGAAATTCATTAATATTGGTTTATTCATACTCCTGCCAAGGGCGGAAAAGGGGTAGGGGAGATCGACAGTTTGTCTTAGATATTCTTATTTTTACATTTCTTAGGAACCCATGTCTCCCGAAGCACCGTCGGAGTATTCAATTGGATCGGCTGCTTCAGAGGAACACCAAACCGATCCAGTGACGTCACACGTGTCGTTCCAGGTGTCTCCCCATCTGTCGTCTCCGGGCTCATCCCCGGGCTCATCATCCCAGGTGTTTCAGAGCATAGTCAGGCCCACACCTACAGCGCCAACGGCTAAGAGACCCAGCAAGAGAAAGCATGGTGAAGACGATGAGGTCCTTAACGTGTCTCGGGCTAGGCTTTTAAATCCTCCAACCCCAATGACACTTGAAGATGAAAACGATGCTTTTGGAAAAACCATTTCACATCTGCTAAGAGGTGTAACCAGAGAACAAAGGATACATGCCAGGAAACTCATGTTCGAAGTCATGTATGAAGCTGAGTTGGGCAATTTGTCCAGATTCTCGTGTGTCGTTGTAGCTGCGTCAGATACTGATACTTGTAGTAAGTCTCCTCAGACGAGCGGATGTCCAACAAACCAACAGCACACCTGAAGTTTAGCAAACGTACATTTCCCAGACTCAATAGAATTGTTAGACTTGATTTTCCCAGTCTTTGGCTTGAAAGGCTTGCTTTATTACATTACTGTTAGTCTGTTAGCTTTTCTGAAATTTAAATTTAAAATTGAATAATATGTATGGTGCTTCATGTAAGAGACATGGGCAAACTACGGCCCGCGGGCGTTTCTGTCTGGCCTGCGAGCCGACTCAGTAATTAATGATGAGTGTGGTCCACGGTGAGTTGATAATTTGATACAAATGAACGGTCCCTCTTGCAAATTAAAATCAATAGGTCCCAACCCAGCTAGAAAGCAATGGAGATCTAACAATATATTTTATGAAATTACCCTCGAGTGACATACACGATATAGTATAGTCTCAGTTTTAGTTCCACTTCTGAGACCTTGGGTATTTCAACCGATTTCGCCCAGTTTCCTCTTGCTTTGGCCCGCGAGATATTCGGAATCGCATAATCCAGCTCGCAGGTTGGACACTCTTGCCATGTCTGACCAATAGTGTCTGTTGTTTTGTCTATGTATACATGATGATGTATTCTGTGTTTTGTACCGGGAGTTCGGATTGAAAACTACAATATATCGTTCAACGTAAATCAACATTTCCGATGTTTCAATATTTTGCCACTTTCATTTCGCTTCTCAAAGGACGCAAAGAGACAGTATCTGGGTGTGACCGGGGGCGGAAAGGGGGCTTTGGAGGAGACTATAATTTTTCAATCGAATGGGGAAGACAGCTTTGGTTTGTCAGTTGGAGGCTTTGTGAACCTTTTATTTACATCAGAGATAACAGTGGGAAGCCGGATCGTCTCTGAGCCATGAACATTAATAGAGAGCAAAAAGGGAATTAAAAAGTGGGGAGGGGGGGGGGTCTTCATGTCATCTCAAAAGATAAGACTTGTTCTCTCCAAGAGAGAGAGAGAGATTCAGAGACAGATTAGAAATTGGTCCTGCTTGTCCGTTTTATTTATACATGACATGTATTATTGTATGATAATGTTTCTTCTTTTCCCCATCAGGGTATACTCCCCCACCCCCTTTTTTTTCGACATGTTTGTGTGTTGTTGGAAATAAAAGTTCCCTTTTTGGAAAAAGCTGGAAAACATATCAAAATGTGAATGTATAAAACATGAAGAAATCAGTGTTTCATTCTTTCTTACTTCTCAAAGAAGGATTTGGCACTTAACAAATGAAGGAGGGAAAGGCCTGTAAATATAAACTGAGACATTGAACCCCCGCCCTCCCAGAAAATTTTAACTTCACCCAAAAGCTCAGTCTATCTAGAAAGCACAGTCTTGGACTTTGTCAATATATTATGAACTTCATTACAAGCGACAAACTCTCTTATCCCCACAGGCGGGAACGGCTGGAATATTCCTGTTCACAATCCTGTAGCTCGGCCAGCCAGCACTTTTAGCTGAGAGATCGATCGATCGATAAGTTATTTTTGGTAACGTTACGAGGACTTGTTGTGGCAGTGTTGTGATCACGTGACCAGGGTAAGGCACAAAGCCTGGAAGAGTGTGACGAGAGGCACTGCTTGGTGCTTGGTTCAGGGCAGATTATGGGGAAATTAAAGAAACATGAGTCGGAAGGGCCAGAAAATACACGTATACACTCCTACTTTAAATCAAAGAAGGCTGTCTCATTTATAAGACCTGGGTATCTTTGCACGTAATATGTATCGAAGATCTAGAAATTGTTTTGTAAAAGAGGTTCTCAAGGCTGATGCAGGGATTCAAAGAGGGATAGCTGGGCTTGTTCACGACTGTTTTAAAAATAAAAAGCATTGTACACTGGAAAACGGTAATATCGAACAGAACCCGAGAAAAATTGCCTTCCACAGAGCTCACACAGTTTGGAAATCATGCTACATATAGTGGCAACCGATAATGCGTTTATAAAAAGGGTTTTAGATCTATGTAGAGTTTTATTTTTTAATGTAGGCGTTTTATGCCCCCATCAACACGTTTTAGATCATAGAAGGTGGGCCTCGACCCTGCTTGCAGGGCCAACACGGGTCGGGTGGAATACAACGTCCCAGAAGAAAGATGAATATTCAATGAATTGTGTTGGCGTGATATTGTGTGGTATTTGACGTTGATGTTACTCTGAATTGGTTTCAATGCATTCTGCTTGGCATTGTAACCCACATGTCCACACAGGAATCGTAACAAGTGGTACACGCAATCTCTCTCTCTCTCTCTCTCTCTCTCTCTCTCTCTCTCTCTCTCTCTCTCTCTCTCTCTCTCTCTCTCTCGCTCTCGCTCTCGTTCTAGCTCTCTCTCTCTCTCTCTCTCTCTCTCTCTCTCTCTCTCTCTCTCTCTCTCTCTCTCTCTCTCTCTCTCTCTCTCTCTCTCTCTCTCTCTCTCTCTCTCTCCCTCCCCAACACCTCGTTTCTGTAACTTAATGCTGGTAGATGCCCCGGAGGGTATTGGGAATGAAGAGAACAAAAGAAACAAAAAGGACAAAGGTGACATTCTAATCTTAGAGAAGGAAAGGAAACAAAACGATACAATGACAAAGACAGAGATTGAGTGATTGAGCGCCACAAGATTGCAATCTGAGTGCACCGATCTTTCAGACATTCACAGTTTACAATAGTTTACATTACAGAGTCTGTCAAGAAGTTCTTGAAGACAAGATAAGAGCTGTACAGTTACTGTTCGATCCAAGTCGCCTTTATTGGGTTTTTTGTTTTGAGAGTTCTACTGTTGCTCTTGGTGATAGCCCTGCCCTTCCAATGTACTAGAAATGTGCACGACTACTTTTTGCTGTTATCTCAGTCGCACTTAAAAATATAAGCTACAATTATCACAAAACAGAAACTTTATGATTAAGAAATAGTATTATAATTAATTCTACATGTATGTGTGTACAATAGAAAGAGAGAAGAGAGATGTAGACAGACATGCAAACAGACAGACAAACAGACAGACAGATGAATATATATATTTATATGTATTTTGTTTTATTTTCTCTTGTGTCCCATCTGATCCTATTACAAACGCGCACGACAACGTTTACTAATGCATACTTGTCTATTTAAATTCCATGGATGGTTGGAGCGTGTAGCTACCACATCTTACATTTCATGCTTGTTTTATATTTTGTATCTTTTTATTTTGATTTAAGGCAGACTATAATGTTATTGTTGTGATTGTTTTTTATGATCCTGATGAAACCCGAACGCAGTGAAATGTCGGACATCTTAATTAAAAGATATTTTGATTATAAAATGTCCAAAATACCCAAATCTCCAATTGTTTTTGTTTTTTTCATTTCGTACTACACAATGAGGATGATGATGATGATGATGATGATGATGATGATGATGATGATGATGATGAGAAGGAGGGGGAGGAGGAAGAGGAGGAGGGGGAGGATTTAATGGTAGCAATAGTAGAATTGATAATGACGGTGATGATGATGATGATGATGATGTTGATGATGATGATGATTTAATAATGATAATAATAATAATAGAATTGTTTAATATAAGTTCTTCAGTTTCGAATTTCATGTATGTACCTCTTCAGGACCTAATAATATTCCAAAACATTCATTCTGAGCTTCCTGAGGTTGAGAAGTAATTGAGGCGATTTACTTGCGCTAACCAGCGCATATCGAACAGTGTTCTTATGACACCATTGCAGCAAGTGCCAAAGGGTATGTGGTTTAGAGATTATGATCACTTCGCGGTGACACTTATCCTGTAAGCATGTGGGCCCGGTGTGATCCGGTGTGTTTACTCAAGAGAAGCAAAAACCGCTGCCGGAGGAATATTGCCGTGCCGTTAATTTATTGGGGAGAAGGACTTCAATGGCATAATCCTCCCTCCTATTGTAGGCCTGCAGCTACAGGGTTATTCTTACTTCTGATCGTAGCCTCATAACCTCCACCGTTGAGCTCAGTGAGAATCGCGTGGTGCCACAGCACCAGTTTAACTACATTTTTTTATTTTATTTTGGAGGGGGGTGTTTTGGCATAAAGTGTTATTTATTTGTAGCCATATTATCATATATATATATATGTATTATGTTCATGATGTACTTTCATATTTAGCTGTGACCGAACTAAACCAATTTACTCCAATTGCCATATCATGTATGAGTATGATGCTATTCTTTTTATTTATTTCGGGAAAAGTGGGGGGGGGGGGGGAATCAAATTTCGCGAGTAAAAAGAAAATAATATATTATATATTATCTCCAACAGCGGGGACTTTCTGTTCTCTTTCTTTTTCATCGGAAACTAGCGCCATTTCTTTCATTTCGAATTTGTCAAATCTCCCTTGATGCGTAGGTAAGTCTTTAACACGCATTTTGAAATTGTTCCATTGGCTAACTAAACTAACTTCAACTTTTTACGAAGATTATTGGCAACATTCCTTTCACTGTTTTGAAAATATGATAGCATAGAGACGTAGGGTAACAAACACACTAACAATGTCATCTCTTAGAAGCGGCACCCGTGTGATTTTTCGGCCTACTTTTATTAAATGCTAGGGATGAAGATGACGAATTATTTCCAAAAGTTTGGTCACTCTATGCTAGGAGTTGGGAATGAGGGTTGTGTCCTGCCCCCCAGGACAGCCTGGCGGGGATCTAGAGTAAGCACCAAACAAACTTAACACTAAGACTAATACGCACGTCAACTCCAACATCAGAACATCATCATCGCCAACATAAATAATCAGATCCTAATTCTCACCATCACAATTACCATTACCGTCACCATCGCCAACAACATCATCATCATCATAATCACTATCATCATTACCGACTCAACAATTCCCCTTTCATATATAACAATCTGCACCATTGCTTTCTTTTTACGTAACCAACAAAGACGTGCACCAAAATCAGGACACGTGAAAAAAAACCCAACTAACTTCAACTCCAGCTAAATTTGAAATGAGCTTCTCTTTAAATAACACACTTGTGCATTTGCAGATGACACTGTTGCATTAAACTTATACCCGCAATTTATTATATTGACAACCGCAACTAAGTGAATGCCAAATTGTAAGTTTGTGGTTACCTTTCAGTTGCAAGTTTAGTACGAAAGGGCTAATTAGAGCCGTTTACGTGTGTGTGTGTGTGTGTATGTGTGTGTGTGTGTGTGTTTTCGAGTGTGTGTGAGTGTGTGCGTATGTGCGTGCGTGTGTGTGTGTGTGTGTGTGTGTGTGTGTGTGTGTGTGTGGCACCATGACCAGATAGGCAGCTTAAAGGATCCATTAATTAACACCATCAGGTATCGTGTGCACCGAAGGAGATGGCTGTGTGCCTGAGAACACATTTAACGATGGCTGGAATCTGACCTCGATGAGTCAATGTCTTCCTGGTCAGTCTATACGGGTCTATACTCATTTACTAACATTCACCAAAGGTAGCGTTGAAGTTAACCTGTCAAAACAATTATGTCGAGCGTACTTTGAAAGCACAGAATTAGTTGCTGACAGTTAAAGTTAGAGCTTCTCATTTCCAACTCCTAAGTAAATGTACACATGATACATGTAGGTGATTTAGTGGACGTTCTGGGGGTGGTCTGGTCAACCAACCCGGGCAGAGAGGGATATTATATAACATCCCGGCAGAAAGCATAGCGGGGTTTTCTGGGGATGTGCTGATGAATTTGCTCTTCCAGTGTGATGTCTTATTCAGAAACAAAACCTTCCGAGGTTGTTCAGCAAGGTCTTCAAGAGTTCACGAACTTGGGTGAAAACTTCCCTTGCTCGACAAATGGATGGTGTCTTGTCATCAAAGTGAAAATAGTTCAGCGGGCTGCTGAATCGTTCCAATGAAAAGGCTGCTTTAACCAACAGATTTGCCTTTTAACTAGGTGGGGGAAAAACTGCCGAGAAGAATTTATACTTTGACGCGCAGCACCAATGAGTAGTTACCAGTCAATGAAAGGTTTCGTCTCTATTGCACCAGTGTATTTCCTGCTGGGTTTTCTCCATCTGCCCACTTCGTTTGTTCATGTAGAATCTTCCACAATATCAGCAGTATCCATATTTTTCTCCTTTTTTTTATAAAAGAGAAAGGCATCTGTTGGTGACAGCATATGACGAGTAAAAAGTAAAAGGAGTAGAGTATACGGTTTTTAGGCCCTTTCCTGTTTAACTTGGGGGTCATGCCACAGGGAAAAGCTGAGAGTAAAGCAATGGGCTTTCTGAAGCAATACTTTAAAGTAAATAAGAGCTCAACTAACAAACAAGAGTTGTGTGTATTACACCCAGTCACCAGAAATAAGATGAGTGAGTCAATAAAATACATGTAAGGCTGTGTTCTACCAAGGTTGCCTGTCAAGTGGGTAAAAATAGATTAGGGGGCTAAAATAATAATCTAATAATGTCTTTCACGACTGACGTCACGGTTACTCAGATGGCACCCACGGAGAGTGGATACTCCGGATGTTAGCACTGCGCCAGCTAAGTTACGAAAAAAGAGGGGGGGGGGCG